ACTTTGTTGTGGCAGCTTCCAGCTGGTGTAATTATTATCTTGGGGCAGTAACTCTGGTCTCATCAATGCGATTATTGTTGCTGAAGTCTTCACAGATGAGCGATTTTCGAAATCATAATAATCTTAAGCTGAGAGAACAAACTGTCTGCAGCTGAAGGTCCCACTCAAAGCTAAAGCTTAAAATACTGATTCAACATTTCTGAAAGGTACCAAAATGTCGTAGTTGTGCTCGGCAAGGATCACATAGTTAGCACTAAATTTGTACGAAAGTGCCAATCTGGGCAGCCCTGCTCGGCAAGGGTCAAATAGTTAGCACTAAATTTGTACGAAAGTGCCAACATGGGCAGTCCTGCTCGGCAAGGGTCAAATAGCACTAAATTTGTACGAAAGTACCAACTTGGGCAGCCCTGCTCGGCAAGGGTCAAAAAGTTAGCACTAAATTTGTACGAAAGTACCAACTTGGACAGCCCTGCTCGGCAAGGGTTAAATAATTAGCACTAAATTTGTATGAAAGTACCAACTTGGGCAGCTCTGCTCGGCAAGGGTTAGTTAAACTAAATGTGTACAAATGTGCCAACTTGGGCAGCCCTGCTCAGCAAGGGTCAAATAGATAGCACTAATTTGTACAAAAGGACCTGCTTGGGCAGCCCTGCTCCGTTTCCCTGACCAGTGTAACGAGCATGTGGGTGAAACCTGGAGCTGTAAAAAATAAACTAAGTGGACGACACGTTTGATTAACCAACGCGTCTGATATCAGTCGTTGTGCGCTTGTGGAACGTTTCAGGTACAGGCGGAGCATCGTGAATCAATCCAAAGTGATGTGGTGATAATCCTCACTAATCAGAGAGCATGTTAAGCTCACTGTCCTTGAACGGCGAAACAATCATAAGTGGATTATGCAAATTGAACACCACCAGCAATTCTGCAATAATCGACTTCACCTAGCCATAACTGACTGGGTGGGAGAGAAGTTGACAGAGGCAGAAGCCTGTGTTGTAGAAGCTTCACTGTAAGCGCTGTTGTTTAGCCTCTTCATGTCCACAACTGGAGGCAGCAAACAGGTGAGCAACCCAGCAAATCACACATGACAGCTTTAGGCCGAGACAAACACGCAGCGGCTGCCATTTTGAAACAATAGTTGGCTGGTTTAGGCTCGTACTTTCTCATCTTCAACGATCAGTTTGAAACATTTCCCTGGGTGATCAATTTATTAATTATCAAGGGTGACAATGTCGTTTTACGGCGCTAATAGACATGCCTATAAAAGATGTGAACTTCAAAGATGTCACACATAGTGAGTCACAGCGCTATTATGTGAGGTGACATATTCGATGCCACGTCGCCATAACCTGACTTGGAAACATTAAAACGCAGGCACTTAAGATGCGTTATGAGGATTCCAGGCCGAGTGGTTTTGTTGCAGATATTTCAACTGATACAAAGAGATGCGTGGCGATAAAGTCAAGAATCCTTGTCTTATGGCCTTAAGCGTACTGTGCACATAGGGCAAGACCTATTTTTAACAGACCAATCGGCACTGGGTGGCTGATGTGTGGTCAACATCACACCGGACATCGTCACTTTCCAGGACTTGGTCCGATACAGATTTGAAGCTGGATCGAGCTGGGAGCCAAGGTCCTTTTTTGTGTGTGGAAACAATCCTAATCGAAGCGGATTCGAACTAGCTACCCTCGGGTCCGCAGGCGAGAGTCTAGCCCCTGCGCCAAATTGTCTGCCAATATGTGTGAAGTTAGGTGAGCGATTACAATATATTATCATCAAAAGTCACCCGTTGTTCTGGTAACGCCACGAAAGCTGAGACATGGGATGCACGTATTTAGCATTCCGAGTCGATAAAGTTATTTAACAAGCACAGCAACTAGTGTGTGTTCTTCTATCTTTCTACTCCTTTCTATGAGTGCCAATCAATACATGTTCTGTTACTTTATTAATATATACTATTTAACGGCCTCAGGGGTTCCACCTCTGTTTATTTATAGGAATGACGTATACGTACTGGAACCTACCAAATAAATACATTTCTTAAATGTTTAGGTATTCTAGACAAAGTATTCAGGTCTACTGTGTTCGTAAATTGTTGCTGTGCTTGTTATTTGACCCATGCTTCGTTAATATAAATTTCTGTAACATATGGTGCCATTGTAATGGTTTGCAAAGAATTCTTTCTGTATTCCATAGTTGTGGATTTCAAGCTGTACTACAGACATGGCTAATAAGACACCTTTTTGGGGGTTGCCTAGTTGACTATGCTCTTAGTGTACTTGTATCCATAGCAAGGCACACACGCCGCCTGAAGCTGACAGGTTCAATTTCCGGCACGGTAACTATAGCTTTCGATTTTCATGTTGTCTAGTGTGTTCTTCTATCTTTCTATGAGTGCCGATTAATACATTTTCTGTTACTTTATTAATTTACAGCCAGTAAATACACGCATAGATAAAGGGAAAAAAACAGAAAAAGAAGAGGAGGAAGAAGATGAGGAGAAGGGAGAAGATGAGGAGGAGGAGGAGGAGAAGAAGAAGAAGAAGAAGAAGAAGAAGAAGAAGAAGAAGAAGAAGAAGAAGAAGAAGAAGAAGAAGAAGAAGAAGAAGAAAAAGAATTGCGATTGGCGCGAGAAGGGTACTAGTGCCAACGATATGTGTGGACATGAAAACAATGAACCGATAAGTGCTTTTGGTGACTGTGTGAAATGATAAAAAATACAGTCTGGGCTTATGATTCGGGCACATGATGATGTTGACAATGATAGGAGATAAACACACATAAGTATGTGAATACACTGTACATCACAACATGTCTGTATGTCGCATGCACAATGTAAACGACGTTAAAAACAGTAATACTGCATGCCGGTGTGTCGAATGACACCAACACCCCGTGCTGGCAGAACAGTAGGATCATCGATCGATCGATCTCACGCAAAAACAATGGAACAACATTCACAAGTCAAGGCCGATAATATCAACATTCCCACATTTCTTCACATTCTTTAAACTGTCGCATCTCACATGATTTTCTCCTGCAAGTTTATAAGCGAGTTTTTTTTTTAATGCAAATTAAACGTAACAACATCACGAAGTCTTTCTGGGCGTGATGTCCGCGAGGCATTTTCCCTTCCCCGAGTGCCATGTGACATCGTCCCGTGCCTGCCTCGTTCCTTTTGATGACTGGTAATCGTTGGCCTAGGTGTTGACACCAATGTCTGCGATCTCACAGAGAATCGCGCCAGGCCAGGCCACACAATAACACACATTTCCAGGGTGGAAATAGGCGCAAATAGGAGTGTTGTGGTGTCATCAACACTAAACAGGCGTTTACGCGGTCGCATTAAAAAAACATGACCACTTTGTAGTCCGTGCTGGGAAAAGGTGGAAATATCACTGGTGACGGAGCCATGGTGTGGCTGTGATCAGAATGTTCAGGTGCTGAAATGAGACGGCGGGTTCCAATCCCAGTCGTGATTTTGTCCCCCGCCTGAACGATTTCGGGGCACGGGGGTGGATAGTTTGTTAGGGTTAAGGGCAGTCAGAGTGGTGCTGATAATTCCACAGCTGTTCGGTCATAGGAAATGTTGGTCTAATGCCAAGGAAGTGAAGTCTTTATTTATAGCGCGTCAGAAGTACTGTTATAATTTTAATACTAAATTTAAATAGTAGCAGCAGCAGCACAAACAACATAAGCACTAACAGCAGTAGCTGTAATAGCAGCACCAGGGTGGCGACAGCAGCAGCAGCACAAACAACATAAGCACTAACAGCAGTAGCTGTAATAGCAGCACCAGGGTGGCGACAGCAGCAGCAGCACAAACAACATAAGCACTAACAGCAGTAGCTGTAATAGCAGCACCAGGGTGGCGACAGCAGCAGCAGCACAAACAACATAAGCACTAACAGCAGTAGCTGTAATAGCAGCACCAGGGTGGCGACAGCAGCAGCAGCACAAACAACATAAGCACTAACAGCAGTAGCTGTAATAGCAGCACCAGGGCGGCTGCAGCAGCAACAACAATAACAGAAGCAACAACAGCAGTAGCTGTAATAGCAGCACCAGGGTGGCGGTAACAGCAGCAGCAACAAAAACATAAGCACTAACAGCAGTAGCTGTAATAGCAGCACCAGGGTGGCGACAGCAGCAGCATCACAAACAACATAAGCACTAACAGCAGTAGCTGTAATAGCAGCACCAGGGCGGCTGCAGCAGCAACAACAATAACAGAAGCAACAACAGCAGTAGCTGTAATAGCAGCACCAGGGTGGCGGTAACAGCAGCAGCAACAACAACATAAGCACTAACAGCAGTAGCTGTAATAGACGCACCAGGGTGGCAGCAGCAGCAGCAACAACAACATAAGCACTAACAGCCGTATCTGTAATAGTAGCACCAGGGTGGTGGCGGCAGCAGCAGCAACAACAACATAAGCACTAACAGCAGTAGCTGTAATAGTAGCACCAGGGTGGCGGCAGCAGCAGAGGTATGAATATTTACGGCAGCATCTGTAAAGCTCAGTCAGTGAGCTGGTTGAAGCATCCTGTGCAACCGTGTCACTGGACGGTGGGGTTTTCCATAAAACATCTAGTCACAACGGGATAAGGGCTAGTTTGTCCAATTTTATCCAAGGGTATCCCGTCACCAAATGCTGAAATTGTCGACAAAATGCCACCCTGTGACAAAAACCAGAATGTCGCAAGACGATATACCGTATTTACCATTGTAGCCTCGCCTCTTCTCCCCCCCCCCCCCCCCCACACCAAAATGACCAATGGTGGAAGGAGACGGCTGAATCCAATCAGTTCAAGATAACTGGCAGTCACTGCCCGACGCTACAGGTTTTACCAAGAGGTGGAACACCGTTTATGGACATACAGAAAAAGGCAAATCGCAACACTAACAGACAAACAAATCACCAGACTATAAGCCATTTGTATCACGCAGCTCCCACACTACACACAAACACACGAGGGCAGGCAAACGGTACTCACCATGGCGGAACCATTTGTGTAAGGGGATGCATAGTGTGGCAGGAAGAAGCCAATCGTGCTTGGCGATCCTTGTCCAGGAACCAGCGGTCCAGACGATGATGTTTCTGAGGAAGAGAAATAACCAATGGTAAAAAAAATAGTCTCTACGGAAACAAGATGTAAGTTTCGAATTCACCAACCCGCACATACCTTGCAATGACTCTCTTTACCCTCAGTCACTTGGCTCTTGTCATATGCTGAAGTGACACACGCTTCAACATGTTGAATTAATGAAGCAGACGAACGCACAGCTGATGGCCATATTTTTTTGTTCACACAACTATCTCGGAGCAGTGCACACAGAGAAAACTGTCTATGGAACCACAACTTAGCCACTGATCGCAATATATCATGTCGAACAACATTACCTTTATAGGGAAACATACATGGACAACGAGAGAAGATGCTTGACAGTCTTGTTGCATGGCATGGAGGTGTGTCGGCACACGAACTGATACATGCTGCAGGAGATCGCAGATTATGGAGAGGCATGATCGCCCACGACAGTCGGCAAGGCACCTGATGATGATGATGATGATGGCATGGACATTCCCACGGCGATATAGCTTGACAATGACAACCATCCACGTCGAAACAGTCACAGACACGTTCAGCATTGACCAAACAGGTCGGCCAAACGGGTAGCCTTGGAACTCACAGCCAAATCTGATTTAGTAATTTACTCGTACCTCGAATAATTCCACAAGCACTTTCTCAACTCCGCCATACATACCATTCCTGGATCTTAAAACAAGACTGACTGATCATTCTCGATCATTACCGACTTAAGCAAGTCTGTCTCCCGCACGTGTTTTTTAATCATTCAACTCACGTAATACTTGATCTATTTCATTTGGCAGGCTCTCGTATTCAGCGTGCATCTCACTACGTCCTTAACCTTATTCGTCTGAACTTAAATACACAGTTTATGTTCAGTATCTAACCTCAACGATGACACTGGGCTACATCCTGTTATCAGTGAGACGACAAAAGAAGAAGAAGATCAAACCCCATTATAATGCACAGATTAATTATCAGGATAAAATGACTCCTTACATGCCTGTTTATGATTAAGTTCAGTTATCAGACCAAGTGATGTCTAGAAAAAACAACTTATCTGGTAGTAGTATGTCTGTTCCCAGTCACACAGATTATCTGTATCGTATGAGTGACCTCTCGCCTGATTTGTTTCTTTACCAGAAGCTAGGGCATCGACTGCAGGGGTATCCAGAAGCAACTGTGTCTTTCCCAATGCAGCAAGCCACGGCTGTTTAACTGGCCCGTGGAGGCCCACGGATCAAATGTATAAATAATCTTTCTATACTGAAGTCTGGGCCTCTGGACAAGGACGGTCCCCGACGTCAGCATTTTGGTCCCCGAGTAAACTTAGCTGAATAACTCTACAATATGCCCTTAGCAGAAGGCTGACCGGGAATGCTCACCAAAAGATTCACTGTTCTGCGGTACGTTCCCTTGCTTCAAGCATACTCACGAATTACTTGGTTGTGCGTGCCACAGAAATGTGCCTGTCTAGGAAGGAGGTGGTTGGGCAGGTATACTGCCCACGGCTGGCACGAGTACTAACTTAGGCTGTGTTAAAACTAGTCATCATATTCACTACAGGACAAAGTCAGCAGTGCTCGGGCACATAACGAGAGGAGACAAACTAGATCGCACTGTGACAACTAGTCAGATTAACGCTTAGAACGTCGTCCGTCAATTGAAAGTGGTTCAACAACCGATGCTGCATGAGTTGCTGCAGTAGTTAACTTCACAAGTCTTTACAACTTGACAATATAGGTATATGGCTGGCTTTCCTTTCTGGTATCCATCCATACACTTGTGGCAGTCTGCGTTAACCAGGCTATTCGATTGGTGTAAGTCCATCAGGAGCAACCCGCTTCAAATTATTAACCATTCATAATCCCAACTTCATTTCCAAATAGACATTAAGTGAGGTAACAAAAACATGATAGACGATGGCCGGCTAAGTTGACAAATACTAGACAATGTTTTCAGGGTGTCATAACAGATGCCGCCCATTGAACTTATTTTATGCCATTCCACTTGTTTATTTCCGTGTTATATACTTGCAAAGTAATATATATATAATGCTAGAAAAAAAGTTATATCTTTGTCGTCTGATATATGCTCCATATGTTGACTGTTTAAACCAACTTCAGTTCAGCTACTGAAAAAATAGCGGACCAAGTGCCATTGGTCGACGAATGTCTAAGATATAAATATAATGGGCACGAGTTATCCCTGACTAGGCCACACGTGTGTCCGTCAGTTGTTAAACATAAAACTAAGGCAGGGTCTGGACAGCGAAGGTTGCATTTAATCCATGGAAGTAAGCAATCGTCTGCAGCTTAGTTAAAGTAGGAGAACAGAGCCCACCGTGAGACAGACCACGCTTGTTGGGGAAGGGGGGAGCGGGAGGAGGGTCCCGGTGTGAAAAACTAGTCAGACGTTGCTGAGGGAGAACGGATCCTTGCCATCAGCAAAATCCCCGTGGCAGACAGAAAAATAGAATGAAACCTAATCACCGTTGTCTGGAGAGAGTGAGAACTGATCTCCGCCTGTGTCTGCTAGGCTAACGGCATGATCACGTACTCGGGCCATCTCGTGAGGATATACCAGAGCTGTTTTGTGCCATCAGCCGTGTCAGGTTTCCATCAAGCGTGTCCCATGGCGGAGCCATGTGGTTCAACGGAACAGAAAAGATGACACTGACTGACTTGGGAAACTGACACTGCTACAAGATCAGATGCCTCTGTGTGTGGTATATTTCTTGTTTTGTGCCCATTCTTTGTTTCATTTTGTTAGTTACAACCGGTTTTCGGAGAGGGAACATCCTGAACGTCAATGTATCAGGCCATGATCAGTTAAAACTGAGTCTTGCTGCAGATTTATTGCTAACCAAGCGATCAACGGATACACAAGAACCCACTCAAGCAATAAACGGATAGAAGGAGTCCAGTCTTGAGCGATGGCAAGACCATACATCTCTCCAATAACTAACCCAGTCTAGGCTGTGCCCAGACTTTCGGTATCGGAAGAAGGTATTATATACACAGAATTAGAGTGCATACTAACCTTTTTTATATAATTATTTAGTGTTTCCAGTATCTACCCTAATTCCAACGTTATCGAGTACATATTTTGAACTTGGTTTAGGTCTCCTTAGAATTGGCGTTAACACGGATTTACTGTATGAATTAATTGTTTTCAGAGAAATACAATGCAGTTCCCGCAACTCATGAATATGCACAAATACGGCAGTGTTGTCTCCCTTTATTCTGTAACAGGCAGCAGTGGAGCACTACCGACGGTCCTCATTGGAGCAAACCGAGGGCGGCCAAGGGACGGTCAGATAATCCAGATAGAAACACGGAGGTCAGAACTGGATAAGTCAGCCATGGCATAACATTATCATGCTACAAATGGGTTAATTCAACTGGAGAAGCATCGGTAGCCAGCAAGGGACCTATATTTGTGACTACATTTTTAACTTCACTAAATATACTGTCCAAAAATAAGGGAATCCATAGCTACTGAAAAGAACATACATACTCACTTTGACATGCAGCATATTTGTAAAGCTATCAGTGAAATTACTCAATTACTCCTTTTACACAAGAATATCTTAGGGTCCACCAATCAGGTGACACTTTTTTTAAATCTAGGTTTCGATCATTTTTAGGCTTACGGCCTTTCCCGTTAGTCTGGTGTGTCCTCGTGTGGATCGGTGACTGGCGTCTCCTAGGTATGGATACGATCAGATAACTGATGTGGTCCTGTGGGATCGCTGCCTACTCTTCCTGGAGTGCCTGGAACAGATCATGACCATCGGCTGGAGCAACGTTTTGGCGACAAACACGTCTTTGCAGCTCATACAACGGGTGCTCAATTGGACATATGTCTGCAGAAAGGGATGACCAGGGAAAGGTTTGAATGTTATTGGCAGCTAGGAACCGTTCAAAGTCTGGCGTTGTCCTGTTAGAAAAGATATCCTAAAAAGAAGGACATGTAGTCGAAGAATTTCACAGACGTATAGTCACGCATTTAAGCTTCCTTCAGTGTGCACCAACTGACCGTTGTCACCGATCATTTCCCACACCACCGTGCAGCAGAACTTCATCAACACAATTTTGGGCTAAACCTTCACTTCGACTATGGTAGACCCTATGCCATCTATCCTGACGCTGCAACAAAAAGAAAGATTCGTCACTGGATCAGACACGTCTTCACTGATTGTCACCTGCCATTGACGATGTTGGTTGGTCTTAAGAAGAAGTCGATTTTGATGGCGGTGACGCGTAAGGACAGGTCCTCGGTGTGATCGTCCAACGTCATGCAGTATGATCAGACACATGACGATCTGGAGGCAGGGAGAGGAAGCTGTTGTAAACCTGTTTCTGAGGTGACAAAGCCAAATAAAGCGATTCTATGTTGCTGGCGTCACTCTGTGTCGTCTATTGATCTTTAAAAAAGATAGTGTCAAAGTCGACTGAAGATACTCTGATGCACGTTTAGATGCCTGGTAACCTGACTTTAACTTTCTCTTGCCTGCAATCTGACAATAGCAATATTCCTTAATTTTATCGATAGAGGCGCCATTCATGACTTCTTGGAAATGAACTAAATGTTTTGGTGTAGTGTTATCCTTTATTAGGGTTTCAAATTGTGTTGCGTTCTCGTGCGCGAATCACGAGCTGTGCTGACAAATACGGTCTGAAACACAATTGACTACTGCACTGTAACGACTATAAAAACCCAAGCAATTCGCGTTCAATGGAAACTAAACAACATTTGATCTTGCTTATCACATACATGGGTACGGTATTTTATTTACGGTGGTGATAGTAGTAATGTAACTTTACGACAAAGTGGTAATCGAACGGCAGCAGCCGCAGTAACAGCAGCATCGCTTCTGCTGTTTAAAATTATATTTAAAAAAAAAAAAAGACGCCTAACCTCTAAGATTAGCAGTGGGCCCAAATGAACCCGTAATGCCTCTTCTAATTTGAAGAAGAAACACATACCTGATTGCTAAAATCTT